GCCAGTAAAATGTGAAACAGATCATATGTATGGTTTCCCTGCGTGAACTGTTTGCGTAAGTCTTACGCTGGCTAAGTGCAGCAGCGGGCTGTCGCTCGTATTTTCTTGCAATTTACTCATACTTGCTCCTGTGCTGCGGCAGGCTCGTATTTCTCTCTGTCGCTCGTATTTTGCTTGTCAGTTACTCGTACTTGCTCCTTGCGTGCTGGGACATGGTCGTTTTTCTCATGGTTTCTTGCTCGTATTCTTTCCTAATTTCCCTCGGGAAAATTAGGAAAAAATGCGAGCGGAAATACGAGCAGAACTACGAGAGATCCCGTTTTGCTTGGAAGAAATACGAGAAGAATGCGAGAGAAATGCGAGCCCCCAGCCCCAGCCCCACAGCCCTTACCCCAGCCCCAGACCCACAGCGAGGCCACCTACCGCTGTATGCGCCGTTCACATCCTTACGGGTTACATCCGAAGACCTGCGAAGACCTACTACTAAGCTGTTCATGTCCTGATTGAGCCCTTGTCGCGGCCCTCGCAGAACGCAGCCGTGAACAACCCATGTCTTGCACGTGACATCATGCTATTTCTGCACGTCCCTGGTATTACTCTCACATGCCTTTCTGTCATGATGCTTGTGTGCTTCGTTCTCGCATGTGTCTGTGTGTGCATCTCGCATTTTTCGCAGGTTGCTCACAAATTGTTCGCATTGTTCTTGCTGTTAATCTCTCTTTTTCATAGTCTTCATGTACGTTTTTTGTCTTGCTGTTCGCTTGCATCTTGTCTCGTAGTCTTTCTCGTATTTCTCTTGTATGTTTCTCTTATCTTGATCGGATTGTTCCTTGTACTTTTCTTGTACTCCGTTTTGACGTCGCACACTCCACCCGTATGTTTCTCATATGTTTCTCATATTTGGCTCGTATTTGTTCTTGTCTCTGCTATCGTACTTATCTCTCAGTGATTTGATTTAGGACATCCCAATGATTCCTTCCGGGCCGGTGTCCGTCACACGCGTAAGACACGGAATCTTCCTATAAGCGCTTCCGTGGTCGAAAGCTTCAACAACTACTATCTGATATCTGACACCCTGAGCTGAATTATGCACGAATTCCTCGGCCCTGTCACTTGTTTCGGCACTTCACGTCGCTAAACACACTAGTTTCTGCGCAGTCCAGTCTTCAACACAGCCTAGAACACCGCAGGGGTTCTCAAATCTGATGACTCAATTCAGCAACACATGAAAACCTAGGGTCTGATACAGGTGCACGTCCCGCAGCAGCAGTAGTAGTAGCAGCAGCAGCAGCAGCAGTAGTAGCACTAGTAGTAGTACTAGAACTAGTACCAGTACTAGTACTAGTATTGGTACTAGTACCAGCCTTCAGCTGTGGATGCCACTACCTCGACGAGAATACCCAGCAGCATGTTCAACATCATGAAGGAGGATATAACGATGAAGACCTGAGAGAGTTGCCGCTGCGGATCCACCGTCTGTGGCAACCTTTGCTCGAAGGAGCTCAACATCCGAGCCCTCGGCAATGAACACTGCGAGCATGAAGATTTGGCCACCTTCTAAGCTGCCCCGAAACTACTGCCCCATGAAACTGGCCCCCATCCACATTGCAAACCAGAAACAGCTCAGTCCAGCACTTTCACGAATCATATTGCAGCAATATGTCACGTCATCCAGCAGTGTACCCATGATGATGAGCGAAAACCTTGTGAGCAAACAGGGTGCAGGCGATGCAATCGCCCGCTTCAAAAACTCCCTCGAGTCTGCTGCGCGCTTTTGCTCATGTTGCCGAACAAGCTCCCGATCTGCCAAGACTGCTGACTTCGCGGGAGCAACAACACAAGTCTCTAAAACTAACTGCCAACAAGGCATGACCTCCCTATTTTACAAACAAGTCTGCAAGACGCCATCGGCAACCTCCTGTACAGACTGCAGGAACATATCATGCTTGAACAAACATAAAGTCGCTAAGGCTTCTGTCTACGATGGGGTGGCCGAAAAAGCAGGCTGCACGGAGTCCTCATCAGTCTTTGTCCCCTGGTGGTAGATGCTTGTGAAAATGATGGACCACACGAACAGGATCATCATCAACCTCCCCCAGATGCACTATTCAAAAGACTCGCTGTGGCAACCGGCGACCGGTCCATTCCGAGAATCAGGCAGCGCGAGAGTCCAACTCACCGCGCGCACAGCCGCGGCCAAGCCCTTCGAAATTCCGACCCAACGAAATCCATGGAAGAGGAGACTCAGGGGACTCCACAGAAACGGAAACCACCTTGACGATGAGCATGAGCTCCGGGAAAGTTCGCATCAGCTTGGCCATTCTGCTCACACGCAACCTCAGTCAGGGTCAGAGCTTTGACCCACCTCAACAAAAGAGGTGCGCTTCACAACTTCCAAAGCAAGGCTACTTCTGAGCCACAGACAGTCTCAGCAACCGCAGGGTACTCAATATCCCGAGCGGGCCTCCTTCGCCTGTCGACACAAGCTTGCCCGCAGTGGATAGCACAACTCCGATTCATTCCACACCGGCCACTACACACACACACACGGTGCATAGTTGGCGGTTTGCTTGTGGATTTGCACGTTCGGCTCAAGGCTTTCTTCGACTTTAAAGCTACACCGGGCCTAGAATTCCAAGACATAGGACTCAGCACATTCGGCTTCAGGTTGGCCATATGCTGGGTGTTACTACGAGGCTACGAGGTGGGAAAGGGCTCCCAGAAAACACGGTGCACAAAATTCACGGAGAAGGCGCAGAACTCCCCTCACCGGCTGCGCTGGGGTCCAAGCTTGCTATGAGAGGAAGGATGAAAGTCTCCACATCCATCATGGCAACCTGGCACTTTGCGGAACACTATAGAGCAGCAGATGCTCACTTCCGCGAGTGGAATAAGTTTGAAAGGCTGCATCACGGAGCACAACTGGCACGACTAGATGTTGCTCTTGGACAAACCCGACGACAGCACCAAAAGGAAGTCGAAGAGAAACCAGAAGTCACAGAAGCACAAGCCTCAGTCTGATGTGTCCCGATACAGCCATACAATGTCCCACTCTGAACTCATCTGCTTTGCATGCACCGAGGTCGCGCACACTTGCGCTTAAAGGCGAGAAAGCGAACGACCAGCTCGGTCGTGAAGAACCTTTCGTCACACATTGGAAATGTCACAGCATTGAGGCCTCCATGCCATCTTGAACCGCGAACCTCTGCCTGGTGCCGGTGCTCCACGCTCCAAGACCCGGACACAGCGAAGAAGACTTCAGTCACGATAAAGAAGGCTGGACCTGTTTGCAGACATTCCAAACAGGACTCGTAGCTGTCATAGCTGCATGCTGTCCGTGCTGCGATCGGAATTTCCGATTTCCAGCATGTCTTTCCCTTGTCCTTCCGGACACCCCGGCCCTAGCGGCCCTAGCGCTGGAAGTGTAGTGACACGCCGGCTGGCTTTGCGGCTCGTAGCTTCTGCTCACCAGCGCTTGAGATCCTGTTCTCGCCGATGTAGAGATGTCGCACGGATACGCTGTGCTGAAGCGCACATGCCAGAGTTTCCGCACCAGCATCTGTGATCTGGTTCTCGTCAATTCCAACTTCCTCGAATTCGGGGCCATTGGAAAGCTGTGGAGTCACTGGAGGATGGACAACACAAACAAAGATGCCCCTTCAAGTTGCACGCTGATGATTTTGGCTTCTGGGTTTGACCAAGGCTCCACTAAGGTCCGACTGCTCTTCATGAGATCAGCGACGGCCTCAGCCGCATGGTCGCCCAGGCGGCAGTGCCGAAACCCGACCAACTCCAAACAACCACCTCACGTTGCACTAGTCTTGGGACTCGCATAGCGGGGACCCATGACGGCCAAGAATGGACAAGCATGACCGCTCCATGAAGCTCCAACGGCAGCCCGGCGGAAAGTTTGCTACATGAACACCGGCGTAGCCAACACACACAGGACAAACAGACTGATCAAGTCATGCCTTGCCACCTTGTATGCTGGACAAAGCTTGGCAAAGATGCTTTGCACCATCGTCCCCAAAGTCGTTGTACCCAATGTACAGTTGCCGCAAAGCTGTGTTCTGGCTCAAGTATGGGACGATGGCCTCACAGTCTGAGTCCTTTATGCCACGACCTTTCAGAAACAACGTTGACGCAGTCTGCAGTTCTTGTGGTGTAAGCCCCGCGAAGCAATCTGGCAGTAGAGCCATGCCTGCACGATCCTGCACGGCAACGAATCGGCAGATTCCGAGATACCTAGAGCTTTGCCCGTCAACAGATTCTACACTTGTCAAGCCGTGAGCAGAAGTCTAACCGTCTGTCGAACGTTGGACATCAACTACCTTCAGTTTGAGCCAATTCGCATTGATTTCACGAAGCCCCATGCAGCCTGTCTTTCCTACCATCGACCTACCAGTAACGTGCCGACGTGCTGACCTTCGTAGAGCTTCGCAGGCCGATCATTCGTGGCAGAATAGTCCGCATCCTCTCAGACAAGAGATGCCGCCAAGTTGAAAGAGCTCCGAAAAAGACTTACTGAGCTGCTGGGCCCCGTGCTATTCCTATGCACACTGCGTTCACCAAGATCACCGCCATGGTTGCCCTGCCCACATCTGGTCTCTGCTGGCGGACCGGAACCCGTGCAGCCCGAACCCGTGCAGCCCGAAGACCCGCACAAAGCAAGCTCAGTGAAAGGCCCTTCGAAATAGCGATGACCGGCAATACGGCCAAAAACATTGTCAGCAAACTTCTGCTCCTGTCACATCAGCAGGACTAGATTTGATCAACGATGTCCTTTCCCACTTTTCTCTTGGTGTCCTTGCCATTGGACGGCTTCGAAGTACTGTGCTTCAGGTCGTTTACAGCCTCAAAGTACGAAAGAGCGTACGAAAGGATTGCAGTTTACATTGCAGGACTCTCCCTGCCTCGAAAATACCCTGGCTCTTTCCGTCTGCACGATCCTATCAGGAAGGTGTCTAAGCCTTACGACATTGGTGGGATGCCGCCACCTGAAAACCGTTTCTCCATGACGGGCACATCCTCACTTGCTGGCAGGGCCGCAGTGTTAGCTCGTTGCTTCCAGACAGGGCTTTTGTCCTTGAGAACAGTGTTGGGCAAGTGGCCGGCGAGACTGAGTATAGGTATCGATGGACAAACCACATCGGCGCTTGGGTGGTACAAACACAGAGTCTGCTGTGGCAGCGGCGCACATTAGAAGAAGTTGTGCGGCTGCTCCTGGTGGGGCAGTCTTGCACACCAAAAGGCACATGAAGTGATGCTGCTTCTTGCAGAAGCATTTACCCACACGTCTCTGGAATCAAAGCGGTCTGGTGACAATCGTTGCGGTTGGGCGCTTTGCTTCTGTCCTGTAATCAGGCTGCGACTGCGATTTACTGGCCTTGGGTCACGCAAGGCAGAATTTCAGTGCCAGAACATTCCTGACACAGCACCGACCTAAACGTCCGAGGCCCTGTTTCATTGCGTCCCTTCGCTCTGAGTCGCGGGCAGCGGATGACATTCAAACCTCTCGAGACACTTAGGCCCGCCGAACCCGCCACAGTGAGAGTCTGTGTTACCCATGTAATGACGAGCTTCAGGCTGTGAGGGATGCGTCGGAGCCAACACTTCACCTCCTCCACCTGCGGATGAGAAAAGCGAGCTCAAGTAATGCTACTTGAAATCGAACGAAGCAGAATCACTCACCTTTGCATCATCGCGACATGTGCATTGAGCACGACTGCCTGGGCTGAGCGTTGTTCGAGACCCTTGGAAACGATCCTTCGTGGTGGTCCCGTATCTACGCTAAACAACATCCTTAGCGCGATGTCACACTCCGAACAAAACGAACATTGCATCTTTGGATTTGCTTGCTGCACTGTCTAGCAGTCGAGGAGCAATGGAAAGCCAATGTCCTTCTCCCACGCTGCGGCCAAGGAAAACTAGCTCATGACTTGAACCCACTACAGCTGCGATGTCCTGACCTCCTGCAAAATCCCCGATCACGTCGAAAAACTACCCAACTAACAAGTCAGGAATCTGACCAACACAGCATGAGCAAAGGTGCAAGCACTGGTACCAGCGTTCTCGCTCCTCTTGGACTGCAAATGTCAAGAAGAAGCCGGCACCACTGAGGCGTCAAACTGGTTGGGGCGGCATCGCGATGCACTCGCCTCCGACAAGTGCCTGCGCTTGTGGAAATTGTTGCATGCACACCATGCCTGTGCAAGAGTCCGCTGCATTGATTGCAAGCCTGAGTTCCTACTGGAACTGGCAGCACAGGCGGCGTGGTCCCAGACGGGACTTGAAAGGCTTGTGGCCAACCCTAAGCTTGCGAGACATGTGGACATCTAGCACGTACATCACCGACATGATCCACTCAAACACTCGCCACGTGCAGCACCAAGCCACTGCCGGCCGGTAATCGGCATTGGAGGCAAGCTGCATTGCAGGCGGCGCTGACACAATCATTGCAAGTTGACCTGCTTCCCCTCGCTATACACAACAAACTGAATCGTGGAAAACAAATCTTTTTAGTCGCCTTGCACAGTCTCGTTGATCGGTCTTGGCATCGATCTTGCCAGCACTACATAGTCTCAAAATAAAAATGTAGAACAAGGGCAAATGTCGCAGATGTGGCCATGGTCACACGTGCGGAAAAGCACAACTGACACTGCTTCTTTGCATCACATTTTCTCAGCAAATTGAAACCAGAGTTCAACAGCACACGTCTAGGGTGTCTTGTGGTGGTTTTGACGCACAACCGTTGGTTGCACCGTAGTTTTGCTTTTCTTACTTTTCAGTACAACCATTAACGACGTTTGCATGTTCGCATGCGCATCCGAATCATCATACAAAAAACGTATGTCACAAAAAAACGTGTAAATGCTCAAAATACTACATGTCATGTCCATATTACATAAAGTACATGTACTACATATATATGTACATACATATATATCTACATTCTATATAATGGCTATCGTACATTCGTTATATTTAATTACTGTATATAGACCAAAAACATATACGGCGTGGAAAGTATATACGGCATATAAAGTATGTATTGCATATATATTTTTTTATTTACATTCATATTTCTTCGTTTATGTACTATACATGTATATTGTTATATACACTTTATTCAATACAGGTATATATATATATACTATGCGTATACTCTCTTCCTAGATATATACTATTCGTTTTTTGTATGTGTAGAAAATGCATATATGGTATGCATATTGTGTGCAGTAGATATCGAGAAAAAATTTTGTATATATGTATAGATACATACATCGATGCACGAACACAATTTGCATATATGATATATACAATATATACAATATATACAATATATAAATATATATAATATACATAATATACATAATATATATAATATATGATATATATATAATATATATAATATAATACATATATATATATAATAAATATAATATAATATATATATAT